TGTTGCTAAGCTTTCCTTCGTCATATTATGAACATCCTCACAGCAAAATATCATCGTCACAACAAAATTCAAGCTAACGAGTCAAGAAATGGAAGTAAGCTCAACAATTGTGAAACAAGAGATTCCTCGAAACCTAACTTTTCTTCACTGTTACTTTCGTCTCTATCTCACGAATTTGCTATGCTGCTGATCACCCACGAACGTATATAGCTTAGATGGCTGGAAGGCAAATTTTTCAGTCGAGTTCCACCCAAATTTAATTTTTAAGCTAATTAAAAAAAATTAATATGCGAGAATGCGAAGTTCTACCTAAAGTTTTTTTGTAAATTTGCGGCGGCGCTCAGATACAAACCCATAAGGATATATATATATATCTTGAATTTATGTGGAAGATTTGCTTAAATGAAAATAATTCTCTTAGAATTTAATATTTAGATACTAGAAGCTCTACTCTACATCTTAGAACTAAATTCATACCAAAATCCAGTTTACGCTAATAGAACTGACTAGATTTTAAGTAAACCTTTTAGCTTTATCTACATCAATAGTCTTTTGTATCAGCTATAATATAAACTGATGATGTCGGTGATATTTTGGAATGGCTTTGTTAAATAAAAACAGCCTTTTCACAATGGCTCAGTTTGAACGTCCTAGCTCAATTGTACTATCACCAGGCCGATTCCTATATAATTAGAGAGAAATAGCACTTTCAGTCCAAGCGTTCAAACAATGGTCTTCAGGATGAAGGATGGAAGGAAAAAAAGAGGAATGAAATACACTTAGACCTTTTCCCAAAACAATTCTGTGGGATACGGGGTCCTTAATATCGAGTGAAACATATCACCTCTTTTCATGACTACCAATAAATCACTTAAATGAGATGTATTCCTCCTTTTTCATTTATACTGGGACTTCACATTATCCGCTTCTCCTGCATCACCAGGTCTTGCATCTTGTAATAATTCAGGATCTTTCTAAATGTACAGTCTATCCATTTTAACATCTTGATCGTCCCTAGCTTTCTTCCTCTGTTTCCTCAAGACCTATTTTGCTACTTTCTGGGAAGAAAATTTACTCGACAGTTTGCTGATGTCCATATGGCAACAGACTCTTTTTCACATTAACCAGCCCTTGTAAAACTTATAAAGGATTAGGCTTGACTCGATGGAATGAATATTGAGTAGCATTCGATTCTGCCAGTAAGTCTTTAATTAGGTCTGATAAAAAGTATTTTGAAAAACTGATAGTTTAATTTTCCTAAAGTGTTATGACGGAGCCTCACTAGCCATTGCAATTCGCTTTGTCTTGTCTCTCAAAGGGTATTCCAATTCAGGATGAACTGCAGTTTCGACCTCGTCTGGTTCTTATCAATGTATCAAGAGTAATTCGAACTCGCGTAGGGTAGCATATATCTTCGGCATATCCAGCCTGAGCGAGGGCACCCTTTGGGGGTCGAGGCTAACCGAAATTCATTGTCATTGGGAGGCAGGCTAAGTGGATTTTTGGAAAATGCAATTACTTCTAATTCAGTAAGATGAAGCCAGAAAGCTGGTGTCCGGCCGGACTGATCTCTTCCCCACTATTCGCCCTGCCTGCATCTCTACCCTCTCTTCTGCAGTGGCGTACGGCACGGGCACCCTTTGTGCACGTCAAATTCGCTGACTTCTGGTTGGCTGACCAGCTGAATAGTCTCACATTCATACTGCCCGATCTCGCCTTCTTTGTCTGCTTCTACATCTGCCGCATCGACTGGCTTAGCATGACAATCAAACCTACCTCGTCTGCTTCGAACATGGTCTCCAACTCCATCGCCTTCACCACCGACCCTCCAACAACGCCCTACCAGTCGGTTTCCGCCACTGCTGCTCTCGCAATGGCTGCTGCTGCCGTCACGGCAGCAACCGGAGCGCCTGTTGTTCAGTCTACCACCGCTGTTACCGGCACCACTGCCTGGTTCAGTAACTCAACTGCATTGCCAGTCCTCAGAGTAGCTGATTCATCCGTTGATATGGTGATGCAAGCGGCTCTTGGATTTACCAACAACACCGCGGTTGCTATGTCGCCCTCCTGGCCTTCAGGCGCCATCTTTCTAGAAAACCGTGATAATGAGACGGTCCAGCTAAGGAATACCAGTACTCTTATTGGGAATAGTGAAGTTGAAGAAAGCTATTCGGATGTCATGCTGTCGGCTGATCAGGTTATTGGCAGGACAACCTTAGAGCTGAAGACGAACAGTGTGACTCAAGGTACTACCATATTTCCAAGGCCCGTAGGCGACGGAGTATCTGGATCCCCACCTCAGGATAGAATTTCTAGAAAGTTTGTCAGTGAGTCCTATGTTTCGACATTTATTTTACTTGTTCCTCTGGTCTGTACAGCATACACAAAAATCATTGCTTAGCCACATTTTTAGTGAAAGTTTGCGTGGTAAGGAGATTAGAGGGTCGATCCCACCAAAAGACGATGGCAGATTCCCTATAGCAAGTTGTTGGTTGGCCTTATTGAAACGTTTTCTTCCTTCATTTACAGTAAACATCAGGATATGGTACCATTATAAAACCATATTTAAGCTAAGAAGTCAAGAAACTCACTGGCTTATCCCTAAATACTGGATATATACCCTATATTTATGCCTTT